TTTGGAGTGCAGTTTTATTGAGAAGGTGTCACACGCTTCCTCCCCTCCATCCTTGGGAGTGTGTCACACACTTGGGAGCAATGTACATCCCAGCTGCCCCAGACAGCAGGGAGTTGTGGTCTTTAATCCCCTGGTCTCGTGTAGTGATTTCAAGGGGAAAAGAAAGTCTAATTCACAACGGATTTCTTTCTTTCACTGTTGCTTCACTTTCTTCCATATGAGCAAATCTGTTCCATAATTAATTATAAGAAAAGCAATCCATCAACTAACAAATTTTTTTGTCAGCCTTTCCTGCTTGATAAACACTTCCTGTACACTTACAGGAGAGTGCAGTGTGCTCTCACAACAGCTCTCTGGAGCTGAAAGCACTGTAGAGCTGTTACTTGGACAGGCAACCGTGTTCTGGACTGTATTTACCATGTCTCAAGCTGTTCATTTCAACAATCAGTTTCCTAAAAGAATTGCAAATAAAGGTAGAAAACAAGTGTTTTTTGAGGTTTGGTGAAAGGAGTACAGCTTACAGGTGTGTAACATTGTCTTTTGGTTATGAGTGAGGGGTTGAGCGTTTCTCATGTTCTTTCTTGCCAGGTGGATGGAGGTGATCAAGAGAGCCACCAGTTCTCCAGCCAGGTCGAGTCTGCTGCTTCCAAAGGGTGAGAAGGACAGTCACACAGACTGAGGCAGGGCAGAGCTGGATCTCTGCTGTAAACATCAACAAAAGAGGCGGGGGGGAAACAGGAGTCTCTTGAGTTGATAAAGCAAAGGACCAGAAAGCTCATTTCCACACAGTATGGAAAGTGGGAACAAGGGAGTTGTAGATGGGGACCACATCCATGCCCAGTGGTATGGAAGAGGGTCAAGTCTGTTCCAGTTGAACCTACTTAGAGAGAACCTAACAACCACAGAGCTCTGGTGTGCACACATCGTGGAAAGGTTTGTTGTTCCAGTTGTACCTGTACAGTCACACCCTTGCCTGCCCTGGAGGCAAATGCTACCTTGTTTTTACATTTTGACTGGATGGTCAGCATACACAGGAGAAAACCAGCAGCTGTCAGTGGTGCCATTGGCTTTTAGCTGCTGGTGCCAGGGCTCGCTGGCTCCCAGAAGTTCCCTTCCCCTGACGCTTGGCATGGCTGGCTGTACAACCGCTGTCCTGCTGCTGTTAACATCACCCTGCTGGCACAGTCAGACTAACAGGGGCCCACAGGTGTGTCAGCTTAAACACAGTTCACTCTGAACAGAACCTGCAGCTCTCGTAGAGCAGCTCTGCTCTTTGGACACTGCGCGGCAGCCCGTTCCCAGGGGACACCAAACCTCTGCTGAGCTGTGTGGGTTACAGTCGTTGTGGGTCAGTGCAGGGAGGGTGCATGGTTTTTCCTCTGAACTCTGCTACGGCGCGTGCCGAGAGGGTCAGTCGCTGTTCTCATATCACAGTTTCAGACTTTATCCTGTAGTAGGCATTGCTTAAGGCATGGGATGGCAAACACTCTCCACCCATACGTGGGTGATGTTTTCAAGGCATTTAAGCAATATAGGAGAACAGTCTTCTCTGAAAGTCACTGTTGCTTGTGCTTGTGTCATGCAAAGACTTCTGAAAATCCCTATTCTTACCTTTAAATTTGGAGTGGGATCCGTCTTCTGTTTCTCGTGAAGGTGTAAAAGTCACTGGATTCCAGATGGAGCATTAGTGTCTGTGGACTCTATTAAATCTCTGTATTAAATCTGAAATGTTTGCAGTTTGTTCTGTTTTTGTAAATGTCACCTTTTGTTGCCTCCATGGAAGGACTGAAATAAGCCAAGTGCCGCAAAATGCTGTTGGATGTGGCTTTGATGGGCTCTAGGGACTCTGCTTTTGTATTAGATAGATAGAAAAGTATTTATGTACTAGAAGAAGGAACAATGAAACAGTGTAATGAAAGAAAAAGGAAAGTGTTGCATGTTCTGAGGATGGAGAAACGTGGAGATCCCTGTGAAGATGGGAAGTACGGGACCAGCACGTGTGTTCTCCAAGGCTGTTTGAGGTTGTGGTCTAAAACGTGTGTGGGATGAGACCTGCAGGGAGGGGCTTCCAGAGGGATTTCCCAGACCGCTCACTTGGCATCTGCATCCCAGAGAAGACAAGTGACTGCGGATCCAGCCTTCACTACCACTGTCACAATGACCATTGTCTCCTGTAAGTTAAATGTACTTAATTTATTAGTGTGTTGTGTTTTTTTTTTCCCATGGATTGACCAGATATGTTATAACGCATCTGAACATGACTGTTGAAAGTAAATAGCATCTTGGTGTAAAACTATCTCAGTCTCCTATTCCTGGGCCCACCATCCCATCCATGGCCACGCCTGGGGGAAGATGGATGGTGTCTGCACAGAAGCATTGCTTCTCCTCAGCCCTGAGAGGAGAGGTTTCATGCCATCTCTGCATTCAGTGGTTTTCCTGTGGGATAACAGCTGTTCTTTGTCACAGTCCCAGAGCCTCTCACCAGGAGGGCTTCCCTCCAGCACGAGAACTCTCCTGTGCAATTACTGCCTTTGGTGATCTCCTGTGGGGAAGCTCTGCAGGAGCAAGTTCCAGAGAGGAGAAGCTAGGGTCTCTGTCACCAGCTGGGGCTCTTGGCATTTAATGCCAGCCTTTAGTCACACTCACCGACTGTAGCGGGGCTTTCTAGCAGCAGGATTCAAAATACTTTTTTTGTAGCCTGGTGAAGTTACTCAGTAGTTTCCCAAGCCTGTGGTTCTTGGCTCAGCCAGCACCAGCTCTGCTCCATCCGCAGCAGGGACAGCATCCAGTCAGTGACGTGAAGGAGCCACCATGATGGAGCCTGTGAGTGCCACCAGGTTGGGGGAGCAGCTCCAGGGCAGGGCAGGAGGAAGGGACTGACAAACCCCACCTGAAATTCGGTGAGGGTGACTGGGGGCTGGCAGGGGGACAGCGTGCCCTCTGTGGCGCGGGCTGGGGACGGCACAGGCTGTGGCCAAGTCTCCAAAAGCACACTCTGTCTGTGGAAGGGCAGTGCGTGTGCTCCGGCCAATTGCCCGAAGAGGACAGAAGAGCAGGAGAAGTGTTTCTGCCAGCGCAGTGCAAGAGAGGGTGCAGTGTTTTCTGCCCGGGGTGAAAGAGCCTGGTATTGGGCCCTGGTGTAATTTTTTAACGAGCTGACAAAGATTGCTTACTCCCTTAACATCAGCTTGACTTTGTCTGAATTACCTCTGAACCTCAGCTGCCCATGGCCCCAGCACCACGTGTGCAGACTGACGTGGCCCTGGGGGGACAGGAGGCACCAAGAAGCCAGCCTGGCCGTCAGCATGGAGCTTGGGGGGTGAGTGCTCCCGGGGGGCTCCAGCAGGGGCTCTCCCCACACACGCTGGTTTTTCTGTCACAGGGCACACAGCTTTAGCCTGTAACAGCCGGAAACAACTTCTGACGTGCTGAAAAATGATCAGAGTGGCAGGCCAACCCCAAAGGAGTCAGTACCCGGCTGATGGCTGCTTCCATGGCTGAGCCACAGGCTGTTTGAACCCCTGTGTGCCATTCGGCCTCGCTCAGCTCTGGGGTACTGCTGCCCCTCGAGATGCAGGGAGCAAGAGGCCTTCCTCACCCTGTTGGGGTAGCTGAGGTGCAGATGACCTGTTATTTGTTTAGGTGCTTAATCTGCAGCTCGGAACCTCCTGTCTTGAAGACACATGCGCTATGGATGGTGGCTGAGGTGTGGGCCCTCAACCAGGAGCCTCTGGCCCTCAGGACACGGGCAGCAGAAGAACCTTCCTGGGAGGAGAATATCAAGCTTAAATGTCCAGGTGTTTAAAATGCAGGAGCACAAGTGATAATGAGAAACTGTTGGCAAAATAATAATGGGATAATAATGAGACGTTCCTGGCCAACCTGTTTACCTCTCACCTTGGCAAGCTTTCACACTGATGGGGATTTCAGGGGCATCAGTTATTCTGTGAAATACCACATGGTCGTTTGACTTTACCAGAACCCTGCAGGAGTATTTTTTTGTCTATGCTACAGTCATGAGCAACTTCCTTAACAAGAGCACTAGGAAAGACCAGAATACACTGGTTCTTAACCATCAGGTTCTTGCTAGCAGGGTGTATGTTAAGAGATGAACCCATGCTCTTGGCACCTCATGGCTTAATATCCATGGCCTCATTTAATTTCAAAAAGACGTAATTTCTGGTAAATACTATCAGTTTTCCCCGCTCCCGCAGGATGGGCTGGCCTTCGCTCCGTGTCATGGAATTCTGCTTTGTTGCTTAAGAAACCAGAACGAGTGAGGTTTTTTGCAGTAGTTCCTATCATGTGTTTAATGCAACTTCCTGGAGCTGCTCTGGGGACTGCTCCCTCTGTCCCCCCAGCACCAGTGACGCCCCTTACACCAGACAGTTCACCTCCCTCTTTTGTACTGGCTTCCTCACCACAGCTTTAGCTCTGCTGAAGTGTCAGCAACCAGCAACACACACTTAAAGTGACAGCTCTGAAGTGTTTATCCTGCAGCAGAGATCACGCCGAGCCTGGCTGCAACTGCCAGGGACCTTGGGAAGCCATTGGGTCCCAGCCCCCCCAACTAAAGCAGGGCCACCCAGGGCCATGTCGGGGCAGCTTCTGATTATTTCCAAGGATGAAGTCTCCGCAGGCTCTCTGGGCAGCCCGTGCCACTGCTCAGCCCCCCCCTGCCTGCAAAGGGAGAAAGGTGAAGGCAGCGCTGTCCTGATGTTGGCTTTTACAGTCAAACCTCAGTCTAAATACTGCAGATCAGGAGAGGGACTCCAGCAAAACCTGCCCTCTGGAGCACAGCTGCACTTCTGCAAACAGCACATGCTTCCCTTCACATCAGGGTATTTAATCCCTCCTTGTGCAAAAGCACTAAAACAGGTCTGTCTTCAGGTGCACCCTTAGATGTCCAAGAGGCAGGAAGATGCAGTGGAAGACCAAGAAGAATGCAAAGTATCTTGAACAAATACTGTATCCCTAATAATACAAAGTTTACACCAGTCTCATTTGTTTTGTTACTTTATTGAAAGTGGCAGACCCCTTTCAATGTTTTTAAAAACTAAAACCATTGTTGCTTTGAATACTGGACAAAGTTTGTGGGGATTGTTTCCTTTAAAAAGTTTACTCATTACACTGCAGTGCACGTGAGTAATAATACAAGGTACCTTATTGACACGATTTGCTACCGTCATGAACAGCAACTTTAAAAGCAGCAGGAGCCCTTCAGCCACCTTTCTGCTGCACTGCAGCCTCTGCCTTCCACCTCAGGATGTTTTCTGTCTATACGTTAACTCCTCCTCCTGAGGAAAAAAATGGGTTTGTTCTGTTCTTCTTAAATGCAGGCTCCAAGATGGCTCTCAGCGCTGAGAAACCACTCCGCAGCAGATCTCCAGCCAGATCAAACAGCAACATCTCTGCTCTACTGGACAAGCTCCTGGCGTGTGCCGAGGCTGCACTGATCCCTCAGAGAGGAAGAGTAAAGGAGAGTCATGAGCTGAAGTGAACACCGCACCCCGGGGTGAGGGAACCTGTGGTTCTTTTGAGCTACTTTTAGCCCAGCACTTAACAATCTGCAGCTCTGAATCAAAGTACCAAAAATCAAGCCTTGCTACTATCAAAGTGGCCTGTCTTTTACAAAAAACGCTGAACAGCTACAGCTTTTGTTCTCAGTGGCTTTGGGGTGAGCCACATCATTCACACACAAACACCCAGACAGAAAGACCTGGATATCTAAGGTCTTGCTGACTTAATGGGAATATCCATATGGTTAGAGAGCAGATCTCTAAGCAACCAGCTATCAGAAGTTATTTTCCCAAGTCTATTTTACTAAACCTTTAAAGTATAGATTTAAGAACTGTGCATTTACCTGAATTAAAGATTTGCTTTACAAATTATTCCTATTCAGAAAGCAAAGCTAGTTGGGATGGCTCCACTGGTATATCTTAAGCAGCCAATGATGGCAGCAGATGCTTTAATTTCTCTACTAGCAAACACCAGCACAGCCCATCAACTGGAGCAGAGCCCTGGCTTTGGTGAGTTTAGATCCTGGGCTGAAAAAAGAGCCAGAAAGGGAAAGCTGAGAAGCAGCAGGGATGGAGGCCTAGAGCAGCTTTTGCGCCCAGCCACACCACGGGGATGCCACTGCTGGTTTCTTGCCTCAAGAACTGCTACACAACATCAGTCTGCCTTTTGAACTGCAGCCCTGTCAGCACCTTTGGCTGTTGTGTTCCCCCTGCCCTCTTTTTTTAATCCTTCTGCAACACTTTGGCACACACAGTAGGCATCTACTCAGCTTAGAGACTAGGACTGCCAAAGCTGTGTATCCAGTTGCTTCAGTTGCAGAAAGCACCGAGGAAAGGAACTCCACCAGCTCCCAAACCAAGTGTAACCACTTTGCCTTCCAGACCCTGGGGACCCAAGGCAAGTTCTGCTGTTGCCTGAATTAGAAGAACCGAGGCCTGATACAAACCGCTGTCCCCGAGCCACCAGGAGTAGGATCAGCAAACCCATCTCCTGGGAAACCACAGGCTGGGACAGAGCTCGAAAGCTTTTTGTTAGTAGTGTGTGACGGAGCTGAAGCAGTTCTCCAGAGCAATCCGAGAGCTGCGCTAACTTTCCCAGATAGTGTAATGCATGGAGAGCTTCCAAACATCCCTGTGCTCACACACTACTGCTCACAAACACTTCTTCAGGAAGGGCAGGAGGCTAAACCCATCAGACGCCTTTGAAACATCTCAATGGAAGAGAATCTCCCTCTTTTACAGCAGCCAGGCATTTACCAGTAAGCTGTGAATCAAACCAAGCCAAAATGGATACATCCATAGGGAAACAATTAAAAACTGCATTGATTACATTGTAAAAACAATTAGACCACCCATCTTGGGTTTTGCAAAAGGTCTAAATTGTACTTGCATTGCAAACCCCACCCTGGGTTATCATGGAAACACGTGTAATATGAAGGCTCTGAAATGTCCTGGAGTCCGTAACACAATGTTACATCCAACAGCAGATGGTGGTCTGGATTAGAGATGGAGTTCTTACGAAGCTGGAAAAAATCCTTCCCCCTCAAAACAGCAGCAGGGAAGGCAGGTGTCAGCGGGCAGAGGTCAGGTGGTTCCGACTGTGTGAAAACCTGCAAGGCAGAACAGTGGGTGGGACTGGTCCCAGTGTCCCCTGGCTGACAGCCCCACGGCCCCCACCAGCCTGTCTGCGGGTGCAGAGCAAGGCTGGGTGTGTTTGTCCCCACTCCCATCGCCACTGCCAGTCTTCTACATAAAGAAGACTTGAAAGAAAGAATCAGCAATTTAACAAAAAGCCAAGCAAGCACTTTTTTTCCATGCCTTTAAGATTTAATTTTAGGCTAGTCAGAAATTTTAAGCACTTGTGTTTTACAGTAGGAAACCAAACAGGGTCTCCCGAGGTTTTGCAAACCTCCAGACAAACAGTGCCTTGCGCTCACACGCTGGCCAGAAATGCCATTTCTAGGCTGCCAGAAGCGAACGATCCTGAGACAGCTGCCCTGTAGAGCCACCCAATGCACATCTGCCAGCAGCTCAGCTGGAGGCTGAAGTATTTGCAGGCATCACCAGGACACTTTCTTTAACCTCTATGGCTCAGCCAGAAGAGGTAAGAGTGTGCTCTTTCCAGCTTCAAGTGATTATTAGTTGAGGGATCAAAACAGACCCATAGCATGTTTGCTTGAAATCTTGAATGACTTAATTAACAGAAGGCCTCAAGGATGGCCAGTATTGGTGCCAGTAGTGGAGGCAAGTTTGACACAGCACCTGCTGAGCAGCAAAGAACTTAGTTCAACCAGACTATACTCCTTCACTGGTTTAAGTGATTCACTTCAGGAAAAAGGGTTTCCTGCTACCTGAAGCTGGGCAAGTGGAGGGACTGGCTGCACAGGGTGCTGTAAAGCACATTCCTTGCAATGAAACAGATGCCCTGCTCTAGAAGCAATCCCGGTGGTGTTTTGCATAGTCACCAGAAACCTGTTCAGTGTGAGAAAGGACTTCCGAGGCAGGAAGAACTTTTTCCATTAAATGAAAAGCAATTAAAAGAAGTGACTTAGCGACTATTAGGTCGGCTGTCATCAATATTCACTTTTCGGGTGTCTTGACTGCTGAGCACCAGCTCCACAGCAATGGAGTGTGACAAGGGTTCAGTTCACTGCCAGCTCACACTGAGGACACTCACCTTTGTACCCGCTCCACCATGTGTGCTATCAGCTTGTCAGAGATGCCTGGGCAGGACTCCTCAGCCAAGCTAAAGGCGTTCTCCAGCTCCTCCATAGCTCCCACATTGCCCCCAGTCTGCTTGTGCTTATCTTTAAGCTGCAAACCAGAAACAGTGTGTTAGTTCCTCATCTCATTGCAGAAAGCACTGGTCAAGCAGTGCAGAACAGACATTAAGCCCCTTTCCCTTTTAGTATGACTTCACAAAGATGAAGGAAAGCACCCACGTTCTTAAAAAAATACAGGGCTCTTCTTGTAGGCCACGAAGATGGAAGTCCAATGTCTGGAGTCCAGACTTTCCTCCGAGTATAATAGAAATTGAAATCCTTAACAAACAGGCCCTTAAACCAAGTGCAGGATATTAGAAAAGCATTGACAGCCCTGAAAACCTGTAAGTAGTAATAGAACAAAGAACTCCAGCTGTAGCTGAGCCAGTACAGTCACCTGTGCTGCTAATGACAGCTTAGCAGCCAGACACACACAAAGGCTTGCAGACAGGCAGGGCAGAAAATATTGTAACACCAGGAATTAGTTACCACCGCTTTTAATAACCATGAAAAAGCATGAGTTGCTTCTAGAGACTGGGAGGCTGAGGCAGACTGCTGCCACGCCAGAGGTCCTGAGCCTCCAACACTCATCCCTGAGAGGGAGCTCTCCCCAGGGGGGCAGGGGAATGAGGCCCACGCCACAAGACCTCCATGTGCAGCATCTGACCTAGATGAGAAGACTCTGTTCACATCTGCCATGGTTGGTGCACTCCAACGAGACCTCACCAGCCACAAGTCTACTTTCACATGGTTCCATTTGTTCATTTGAAACAGCTAAGCCTCGGTCATTAAGAACTCCTGACAGGTTACTGATGCTGCCAGAAGGACACTGTTGTTTGAAAGCCCACAGCCCCATCTGCAGCATTTCCCCACCTCCTTCACACAAGCAGCCCCTTGCCTAGCGCGCATCATTACACAACAAGCCCAACAAAAATCAAAACCTTTTGTTGGACAAGCACCGTCTGCCAGCTAACCACTGTCCAGTTCAATTAAGATCCCAGTAGGCTACACTGATTAAAGGGCTTTACATAAGCCTCGTGGTTCTTTGCCTGCAATTCTAGGATCAGCCTTTCCTATTGTTGGAGCTCACCTTCTCTCCATGGTCCAGAAAGCAGGACACCCTGAATGCTCATCGCCAGCTGGAGCCACCCCTGTGCTCCAATTGCCCTGCTGGAAACAAGTGGTTCCCAGCCAAAAATTGCTGCTGCCTCTTCAGTGGTGTAACTGCTCACTAACACACCTCAACTGAGGGAGCAACTCGCACACACCTCTGCTCATCCAGAAGTGGCAGAGGGCATGGAGAGCAACTCAATTACACATCAAGGATACAGATATCTTAAGCCCAAAATAGTTGTGATGCTAAAGCCAAGGATTTGATTTGATGTCTACCTGACCAACGTCTGCCAGCCTCAGAGCAAAATGAGACACCAGGTCTGTCCTGCAGGTGAGTTGCCAGTCTATCAGCAGCCTTTGGTGCCAAGCTGCTGACCCGTAGTTGGCCCAGCAGCCTGAGATGTGAGCAGTCTGTCTTATCCTGTCACTTCCCACTGCAGAAGAGCTTTCTGGAGGTCAGCAGGAGGTTAGAGCTATGCTGTGCAAAGCCTTACAGGTTGGCTTTTATTCACTGCTTGGCCCTCCAGGCCCAAACACCCCTTTCCTCCCTGCCCCAGAAAGGGGCAGACAGGTTTCTAGATCTGCTGTTGCCCATGTCAGTGTCAATGACCCACCGTGGGTCATTTTTGATACTACAGTAATACACATGCAGGGAAGGCACATAAAAGATCATGAACAGCATCTCCATAAGATTTCAATTCACAAAGCCCAGATTCAGCCCTTTTCTGGGTGATCAAAACCCAGCAGGTCTAAGAGGCACTAACACAGCAGTGAGAAGGAGAACTTCTGTTGTTGGTAGGAAACTAGAACTGAAAAGAACAACACGTACAACCAGCAGTGAAGCAGATTTCCTACTTGGAGACAAGTTTTCTTCCAAGCCCCTGCTACTGCGTGCAGAAACCAGGTTGTTTCAGAGACTGCCCAGAACCTTCCCTGCACCTGATTTTGTTGAGTGGGATCAGCCAGAGCTGGCAGGGGAAGTCTAATCAAAGGAGGATCAGCAGATCTGGGATGACTGAGTCAGACTAGCAGAAATGAAAGGCCTGAGAAGCCACTTCCCGCCTGGAACTGGTGCAGCAAGGTTGGTAAGGAGAAGCACAAAGATGAACTCATTGGTTTGGAGAACTCACAGCTCTGAGCACTCCCTCCCCCAGAAGCCTTCTAAACAGAAAGGACCGAGAACCAGATGTCAGTGATTTTGCTGCACAAACAAATGGCCTGTATCAGAAACCAACATCATTTTTATCCATTTTTATCTTGTAGGTTTAGGTCTGCAAGACCCAGACCATCTGCCTCATGCCCTGACCTCTGGGAGTCAAGCCTACTGGAATACTGAAGAGGCCAGTTAGCACCTCTTTGGGAATGGAGAGTTTAGCTGTCTCAAGGTGCTTTTCAGAATGACCTCTGCTTCCTGTCCTGCAGTAAATCCTCTTTCCACATAGCTCTAGATCTGACAAAAGAAGCTGCAAGTCCAGAGACTATCCCTGAAAAAGCACAGCTCTCTGCTGGGCCACCGCTGGAACAGCATCAGGATGCAGAAGAGAGCAAGACATCAGGACCAGAGAAAGAGTCTCTGTGACCCCAAGAAACCCCAGGAAAAGAATCCTGACACACAGTGTCTGCATGAGTGATTTCTTTCAAGTCAGAACCTCCTTTCCCACACTCCTGCTGCAAACAGCAACTGAAGCCCATAGCCAGTAGCCCCCTGTGCTGGTTTTGGCTGGGATCCTGATCTTCAGACACCACGGACACCAAGAAGGCTCTACTCACCTCCCCAAAAACTGGGTGAACAAGCGTGGAGAGACATTGTGACCGTGGTTGTCTCTTGACGGGCTCAGTAGGCTAGAAAACAACACGAAAAGAAGTTAACAAGCCCAGACAAAGGCTCCCAGGGCACACACATTACTTAGTCTTTGGTAAAGGGCACAACACCTCGATGGCAGTCCCCTCGCCAGATCTCGGGAAAGGCACAGCCTGCAATACCCTGATGAGGTAGAAGAGGCAACTCTGGGGCACTAGCCCTTGATACTAAATTTAACACAGAACACGAGTGACTGGTAGCTTCCCTGAGACCCTCAAAAGCTTGTGTTAGTTCAGTCCTCCTGATGGAACAGACAGCAAACAGACCTTCTGGGAGCCATGAAGAGCCATTCCTTTGTGCAGCTTGCTCAAGGAGTTAGGGCGAATAGTTGGTGGGAAGGTCCAGATTGGACCCTGGTCTCCATCCTCTGTGTCTCCGTCACTGCAAATGAAAAGGGGCAGGTCAAGACAAAGCCTCAGCTGCATACTGAGGGTGTTTTACCCGTGCATTCCTACAGTCACAAGCTCTCCCCCACCTGATTGTCTTATCACCACAGGGCTCCAGGCATTTCCCTATCCTGGAAAAAAATCTAAAGAGAAACCCCATCAGTCTCTACAGCCCGTACACAGCACCACAGAGATCTGAGCCAAGTACTACATCGTGTTTCCAAATCACTACAACCACCTTTCTGCTCTGGCCAGGTTGAAGACAGTTTCAAGTGCTGGTTAAATTTAGAATTTCAAGACAATCCAAGACCACAGTTTGAAGGGTCAGGCTCAGGTGTTGCAAGCCAACCTCCCAGCATCACTGCCACTGAAGGTGAAGAGAAGCTCGGTGATACCAGAGGGGCAACAAAGCACCCTTCCTCACCATCCTCCACATCAGCAGCAAAGCTCTCTATCCATGAATACACAAACACACATACACAGCTGTTGCCACAGTTACTAAAGCCTGTAGCTCTTTGAAAGGTGATGCATTTAACTAAATGTGCATAAAATACAGGCATCAAGAGCCTTGTTTTGCCAGTTATGCATGTGCTAGATGTTTCTTGTTAGTACTTCTGATTCCTTACACTCAGCAAAGAGGCTCCAGAGGTTAAGACTAGAATAGAGTGCCAGGTCCCACTGAAGAGGAGGTAACAGCCTGTTTCTCCAGGCGTCAGTCACCTGCTCCCACAAACAGGCTCACAGGTGTCCCTCACCAGGACCTGAGCTGCTTGCAGCAGGATAGCCCGGGGCACGCAGGGTACAGCAGGGGCACCCCTCCATGCAGAACACGTACGTACATGTCAGAATCGCCAGAACTGGAGTCTTCTCCATGGCCCTCCGACTTCCAGCGCTTGAATCGATCTATCAGCTCCATTAGGAATGAGGTTTTCTTGGTGTAGCGTGTGATGAACTTGTGCTTTAGCAACTCTTTAGCTGTCGGCCTCTGGAGCAAATAAGGAAAGCATGCTACATCTACCATCCCTGTACACTAAACATGCAAGTGCAGTGACTTAAATTCCTGTCAGGCCTTGCCCGTCCACTCTGCAAGCTCAGTAATTCCTTCTCTCCAGCAGCCTTGCACCAAAAGGTCTTCCTGCTGAGTGAATCTTTGACCTCTGCAATACTCTACCCGAATTCACAAGTGGACAGCAATACTCACAAATCTAGGGTCCTTATTGAGGCAGGCCTCCACAAACTCCTTGAAGGGCTTGCTGTGGTGACCCTCCAGTGTTGGAGGGTTATTTTTGGGGATCAGGAAGAGAACCCTCATAGGATGCAAGTCAGAATTGGGAGGCTCTCCCTTTGCTAGTTCAATGGCTGTAATTCCAAGGGACCAGATGTCTGCCTGAAAGAAGAGCAAGAACAGTGACAGGACAGAATAGCAAGGAGTAGGTCTGCAACATGAAAGCATGCAACTTTAGCGCAGCTGAAGGGCTGATCATACAAAATCAGATAGGGTGTTTCATGTCTAATTGACAAATTTCTCCAACAGACCCTGAACCATAACAGGAAAGTATCCTTCTTGCAACGAGCAGCACTTCCAATCCCTTTATTAACTCTGACATGATCTCACATATAGTAGCACCAAATAGCAATCCTCCTCCTGCTCCCAGCTCACCTTGAAGTCATAAGCAGACTGTTTGATGACCTCTGGTGCCATCCAGAATGGAGTCCCGACAAAGGTGTTCCTCTTGATTTGCGTGTCTGTCAATTGTCCAGCCACCCCAAAGTCAGCCAGTTTCACATCTCCTTGTTCCGAAAGTAGCACGTTGGCAGCTGTTCACATAAATAAGCATGAAGTCCATTGCTTTCTGAATCATCTTCAGCCCACATAGAGCTGAATACTGAGAACGGACCTCCCGTAGCATCCTCCTTTTTCCCCAGTGAAAACCCCCAGCTCAGATTTCCAGCCTCAGACCCATTCTCATGCTCTGACCTCTGCTGGGTAACACAGAACAAGTCCATGCACCTGGCTGGATCAGAAGGGGACTATTTCTAGAGCAGCAGCAAGGAGCAGATGTGAAGGGCCACACAATCAACTAAATGTGATTCTTGGCCATGCAAAGAAGAGAAGGCATCATGGCCCAGGATACCTAAAACGGTCTCAATTTTTTTTCAGAGCAGCATTCAGAACAGATGCTTCTAAAGCGCTCAGAAGTCCTGGCCTTGTACTGCTTTGCACTCACTCAGCTTTAGACCGTGGCATTTCTCAGGTTCGGGGACAGAGTTTTTTTGTAGGACCTTTCATTCTGAGAGAGACCCTACCTACAAACTTCCAGCATCTCCTCACTCTGCTGGCAGCTCACAGTCCTGCACAGCCTGCAGCACTAGAAACATCTAGTGTCACGTACACAACGGAATCTTTTCTACATATCTCCCTGCATGAGGTTTCTTTGCTCTGCTTGTTCACATCCCCTCCTGCAGAGGATCCAACCAGTTAGCATCCAACACTGGCCACATCTCCACAGCACTGTCCTCCTGCTGTCCTTTGATCCTCTGTGCTTGGTGTGAGACTACTCTTTGGGAGGCAGATGCCATGTCATTACACTACATATGGCCAATGACTATAAAAATCAGTAACAGAATGAGCTGACACAAGCTTCCCTGATTTTGTAGGGCTGCAAGCCCTGCATGAGGACAACTCACCTTCACACTAAGTTATAATCATCATAACCAGCATACACACGCCTTGGGGTCCAGCAGTAAAGCAAATGTCCAGATATAACAAAGTCAGCAAATATTTGAGCATGGCTTTCATTGAGTCCTTTGCTTTATGCTCCTGCCTGCCCAAATTACAAATGCCAGAGAACTACAGATCCCTACTGTAACTCTAAACTCTACAGACAGGAAAAACACAATTTGCAATAAAATGAGAAGCATCGGATTCAGAAAAAAAAGCAACTCAACAGGAAAAGCAGCACTCAGAAACAGTCTTTGAAGCCTCTCAGATTATTGCTGTGTAATACTTCTGAATCTTCTGTTAGTAACATCCCTTACAAGAAAGGGAGCTGAACTCAAAGCTCTTACCTTTGATGTCCCTGTGGATCTTCCTCTCAGAGTGTAGATAATCCAAGCCCTTTAAGATTTCTCTCAGGATAGTAGCTATGTAAGTCTCCTCCAGGGGTCCTGGCTTCAGCTGATAAAGGGCAGAAAGATGACTTAAAGGAAGGTGACTGATGCCTTGAATTTTCCAGCCTCTCAGTTTATTACTTGGAAACCTTGGCCAAGCAGGTCATATTCAGCAGGAAGCACTTACTGCACGCCTGGTGCACATGTTCTGCAAGAGGAATGCTGGACTTTGCACCTGGCCACATTAAGTGGAAAATCTTTGGGATATTTCCTGTCAGTCTATTAAAGGCTTCTCAGACAAAGAGCAGGATGCTCATCTCTCACTTTGGCCTAGAAATATATTGGTAAACAGACCAACTTAACAGTTTCTCTTGTTCAAGTCTATCTGCTAGCATGCAAGAACTAAATTTCAGCTACTGCAACAGCCCAGAGACAACTACTACCCTCTGGCTGTGGAGTATTGTATCAAAGCTCTTCTCCTTTCCACCAGTTCTCCTCCAAGTAAGCCTTGCCTTCTCAGTGCAATAATTGAGGTTCTGATGATTTCTGTTGATGACAGCCCCCCTCCCACCTCCCACTACACCCTTCCTCCAAGGCAGTGGAGGCTCAGCAGTTTTCACTACATGACCTTAGCTACTGCTCTGGAAAAACAGGCTTTACCGTCCTAAGGAAAAAAGCAAAATCCTGTGACAGAATATAGCAGAGCAGAACTCTGCCCATGTGCTTATTCTGCATTTGTATTCCCTTAAAATCTGGAGTAACTTGTTAGACATCATTTGTATTATAAAACATCTGGGAATCCTGATCACAGACCAAGTCCCTGCTGAGCTTGATGTCATGCAAGCACTGAATAAAACCAAAGTCAGCAAATATTTGAGCATGGCTTTCATTGAGTCCTTTGCTTTATGCTCCTGCCTGCCCAAATTACAAATGCCAGAGAACTACAGATCCCTACTGTAACTCTAAACTCTACAGACAGGAAAAACACAATTTGCAATAAAATGAGAAGCATCGGATTCAGAAAAAAAAGCAACTCAACAGGAAAAGCAGCACTCAGAAACAGTCTTTGAAGCCTCTCAGATTATTGCTGTGTAATACTTCTGAATCTTCTGTTAGTAACATCCCTTACAAGAAAGGGAGCTGAACTCAAAGCTCTTACCTTTGATGTCCCTGTGGATCTTCCTCTCAGAGTGTAGATAATCCAAGCCCTTTAAGATTTCTCTCAGGATAGTAGCTATGTAAGTCTCCTCCAGGGGTCCTGGCTTCAGCTGATAAAGGGCAGAAAGATGACTTAAAGGAAGGTGACTGATGCCTTGAATTTTCCAGCCTCTCAGTTTATTACTTGGAAACCTTGGCCAAGCAGGTCATATTCAGCAGGAAGCACTTACTGCACGCCTGGTGCACATGTTCTGCAAGAGGAATGCTGGACTTTGCACCTGGCCACATTAAGTGGAAAATCTTTGGGATATTTCCTGTCAGTCTATTAAAGGCTTCTCAGACAAAGAGCAGGATGCTCATCTCTCACTTTGGCCTAGAAATATATTGGTAAACAGACCAACTTAACAGTTTCTCTTGTTCAAGTCTATCTGCTAGCATGCAAGAACTAAATTTCAGCTACTGCAACAGCCCAGAGACAACTACTACCCTCTGGCTGTGGAGTATTGTATCAAAGCTCTTCTCCTTTCCACCAGTTCTCCTCCAAGTAAGCCTTGCCTTCTCAGTGCAATAATTGAGGTTCTGATGATTTCTGTTGATGACAGCCCCCCTCCCACCTCCCACTACACCCTTCCTCCAAGGCAGTGGAGGCTCAGCAGTTTTCACTACATGACCTTAGCTACTGCTCTGGAAAAACAGGCTTTACCGTCCTAAGGAAAAAAGCAAAATCCTGTGACAGAATATAGCAGAGCAGAACTCTGCCCATGTGCTTATTCTGCATTTGTATTCCCTTAAAATCTGGAGTAACTTGTTAGACATCATTTGTATTATAAAACATCTGGGAATCCTGATCACAGACCAAGTCCCTGCTGAGCTTGATGTCATGCAAGCACTGAATAAAACCATAAACTCTTTGCAGGCACAGATAACTTTGATGAGGTGAAGTATGAAGTATGCACTGCTCAAAAACAACTGGCTGCTGTCACATTTGGGCTCATCAGCTCATCCCATTGTAAAGCAGCATAGCATGCTGAAGAACGGTGCTTTAACAGCTGAGCTCCATGCAAAGTCTTCCTCTGTCCTAGGATATGCATAACCATTGTCTGTCCTGCACTGCCTACCCTTCAGGCACAGGGCTGTCAAAAAGATGGTATATGGCAATTGAGTGTTTGGCTTACAGGCACTTCACAAACCACGGCTCCAGCCAACATTTTTCATGGTCCAGAGCTTACCACATACATACTTACCAAATCCAGGGCTGAACCTCCCCCTAGGTACTCCATGATTATCCACAGCTTAGTGCCCTGCAAGCAAGAGCACAAATCAAGAGAAAGACAGTTATAAAAACTGATAGGGAAGTGAAACACCCCAGAGGCAGCAACACACACGAGTAGTCCTGTACGCACCCCCAGAGATGCCTCACACTGCAGCTCTCAGAGGGCTAAGGAGGGAGAGCCCAGCTCCCTCTTTCCTGCTGACACAACGTTGTAGCAGTGGACCTGCTCCCAGTACATTTCTTTCTCTTGGTCTGCAGTTTTATCTCAGCAAGCTTAGTGCTCCTACAGACACTAGCTACACAGCCCACAGAGATAAGCATATTCTAAGGTTGGAGCCATTTAACATCACTCAACAAATCTAGCACATCTCCTTCTTGACAATGACAGGGGAGCTTTGCAGCCTTTGATCTCATTAACAGGACTGCCAGCTTGAAAGGTACGATCAGCAAGATGCTTACTCCTCAGAGAAGAGATTTCCGTGAAACCACAGTTTGCTTGGTGGTTTCAGTAGAAGGCTAAGAAAATGCATTATGGCCTTTCAAAAATATGTAAGGAACAATCAGGATCCAAAGAGCTCAAGAACTGTTTGCTACAGACCTAATGTCATACACACCTCCAGCAGCCGGCATGCAGAGGTCATCACTAATTTCCATTTGGGATTCCTAAACCCATTCTCAACAGAAGCAGTATCAACACTCCTGCAAAGGCTCAGGTCCTGTTCTTTTCATCATTTCTGGTGAAATTATGATCACAAGATCACAAAGTACAGTTTCAAACTCCTCTTCTTCCCAGAGGCATAAAACAGTCAGTGGTACTACCTTAAAACAGTAGTATTTTGGAAAAGTATTGCACAAAATTCCTTTCAATAATGGTCAAACTGGGAAGAGGTCAGCCTCTTCAAAGAATAATCTTCTCTCCAGTAAGTGGCCCTGCTCTTGGGATCACACTGTACTGGGCATCTCATTTCCACATGCTTCGCAAGTGTCTTAAAGCCCAGCCTCCTGTTAACGCTCCTATTTACATTCCTCCTATTAAAACAACATAAATGAACAGAGCCACTGCTGTTCATGCTGCCACACTAACCCTCACAGATCAGGCACCTTCCAGTGCTGTATGCCACCACCAGCTGCAGCACCCACAGAGAAGCCCAACCCATTCCCAAGTTGCCGGCAAGAGAATTGCCATGGTTTTTGTCCTACCTTCAAGTAGGAGCCATAGTATCGGGTGATATAGGGACTATCACACTGGCTGAGCACCGTAATCTCCTGCTGAATGTCCTCAATTTCATCCTCAGCCTCCTCCAGATCAATGATCTTGATAGCAACCACCTCCTTGGTGCGGTTGTCGATCCCTTTATACACTTCACCAAATGATCCTTTGCCAATCCGCTCCAGCTTGGTGAACAGCTCCTCAGGATCCACCCTGGAGTGCTAAACCAGAAAACAGAGACATGAAAAGTCCATGAAGTCCCATGGCAGCCTGCAGGGCCCCACACATACTCACCCATAGAGCTCACCTCCCTATCTATGCATCTACTGTGTTGTTTAATTCACCTGAAGCTCACATATCCTAAAAGGTCTCCACACGCTGAGAAACTTAACATGGAATATATCCAAGATGAGAAGAACTGAAGAAGACTTTTACATGGGCTTTCCTCCCCTGCAGACTGCAGTGGGGGAGGAAAGCGAGACAGGTCCAGAAGGCCAATGATGGCAAGTATCTCTATGGAAAGCATCAGCTCCTTTGGGACAGGACTGCTCAACTGCATGCACCAAACTCATGCCAAAGCAGCTCCATGAGCAAGCACTTGCTCACACTTGAACAGAAAGGCAGTCAAGGTGCACCAGAACCAGACTTTTTTTGAAGATCCAGGTAAGAAAACAGGCACATGCAAGAGGCCATAGGAAGTTCAGAAGAATGTTTCCCTAGTCTGCCTTCCCGCATTCAAAGATTCAAATGATTTTTCACCTTCCCTACTTTTTTGGAGGGTGAAATACTCCAGTAATATAAATACCAGTTCACATTAGCTGTCTGCTTTGCTGCAGCCCGATTTCCAGGCAGCACCCAGCCCAGCTCTCTTGCCATGTTTGCAGAGGGAGGCTCATGTCTTTTGGAAGGTCAGCAGCAAGGAGGCCAGACACCTGCCTATCCCAGAGGAGACAGGAGAGCTGGATGGACACTCCATCTGCAGACTTGCTTTTCTGGAACAGCCTCTCCTCTAGCTGGCACGCCCAGGTACAAAAGCAAATAGCATTTCCCTCATTAGATAAGCACATCAACTGGGAAGCTACTAACACGATCATCATCAAGAAATACTGCCTTTAACAGCAGCTTCAAAGTTAGCTCTCTATTAAGATGAGTACAGACAAGAAAGGGAAGAAATCAGAATAATTTTCTGTTGCTATTTGATTCTACCCAGCTGCAGACCATGAGGTCCTGCTCTGCTTCATGCTGCTAAAAGGCTCTTTGTGATTATTTTTTCTGCTTCTTTTTCAAAAATAAGTCTAGTTTAAAAAAATAATCTGGAAAATATGGCCTGACCTACAGGAAGCGGCCGTTACAGTGAGTTTTCCACACCCAGAACTTCTCAGTCTCACCTCCAACATCTCACCCAGAGGGACCGCTCCCTTGCAAGGACCTTGAGCTGGCAGATATTTTATCTGAGAACATTTTTCCATCCAGCACCAGATCCTAGCAGCAGTCCATCACTGAGCAGCCCTAGGTGCTGCTTAATGATTAAGCCAGCCAGTCATCACAGGTTATTTGCCTTCTGTGCCCAGTGCATTGTCACATGGAGTAAACCAGGCCCAGAGTGGGCCGTACAGTCAGCTCACTCAACGGGATTTCAATGTGCATTCCAGTGCAAGACACAGAAGCAAAACCAAATATCCTTGTGCATCCATGGCAACACCCTAACAGGCTGTACTTTGAACAAATGCACTGGAAACAGACTGGAGGGGATATGCAGAGATGAAGAGAAGTGGAAATACATAACAGGGACTGGAGAGAAGGGGGTGGGGGAAAGGAAGGGGATTTGAGCTTGTCAAATACCAGGAGACAACATGAGAATGACGACTGCAGCACAGGCTCACAAGAGGCCAGAAGCAGTTTCCACCTCTTGACCAACTTACAGGAAGGGGCAGCAAGGTGGCACAGACATTACCTTGCACAGTCACCGCACCATAAAAACACCACTCACCACATCAGCCACTCCACACACCGGGGAGAAAGGAGAGAAAGAGCATCCTCTCCTAGAAGCACCTGGCTCAGCTGGTAAAAGCAACAATATCCATATAAACCCTGCAGGGAAGGAACCCTGCAATAAAACCTTCCTCCCTTTCCACGTAAGTAATTTTTCCATGAAAAAAGAAATGGCACGGTATAAGTTACTGCTCCCCTGCACAGCCTGGCATGGTACATCAAAGAATCAGGACTACAAGAACAGGACATCAAATGTAAGAGCACCAACTACTGCAGGCAGCATTTGGGACAACCACCATTTTAGGTATCAGGGTCTGTAATCACAGCCAGCTTCACAAACAAGCTCCAATGTCAGTGTATCCTGTTTTCTGTGGAGCAAAGCAGTTCAGGTAGGGGTGGTGAAGGAGACAAACCTTCCTGACAAGCACATGGAAACTTTGCCCAAGGGACTCAGGAAAATGATACAAGTCTGGTGGGCAGAAGAGACAGGCCCACCATGTTAGGCTGGAAGAGAAAACTTCATTTGTAGGAACTGGATTTACCTGCCCAGTACCTGTCACTTCAAAACTGATCTTGAAATGCTTCAGAGCTCTCAGGTGACAGGGTAAGAGTATGACTCTGTCATGAGCATGAGGATGTGCATCCCTTGATGGAGCTGCCAAAATCACCCAAGTCATACCCAGCAACTGCCAGAACTTAGTGAGTGAGTATGGGGCAAAGTGGTAGCGAGTCATTCCAGCCATGGTTACAGTCTCCTGGATGCCTGCTGCAGGACCAGAACCTGCTAACAAATTTCTTCACTGTCTGTAAACAGGGAGGAAGAAACAGGCCCACCCCTGATTCAAGCAGGTCAATGCCTGCGCAGTGGAACACTTTGTGATCTACCATTGTGGACATCACAGAAGACATTGCCAGATTGCATTTTGTGGAAGCAAGCCTGAATTCCCATGACAAACTAAGATAGATAAAATCATCCTAGTCTGTAGGACATCTGCTCAAAAGTTCTTGTCCATTAAAAAAGTTCCTTTTTGAGCTGACACACGGTAACTCACTGGTGATGAGCAAATGTTTGGATCATTGGGCATTCAAACCTCGGCACTCCCGAGACAGAACAAATTGCAGTTGTGCCAGGAACAGAGAACTTTGCAAGTGCACCACTCTGTCAGAAAAGAAGTGTGCTGCCACACTCGAGGGGCTCAAGGGAGGGCAGGTGGAGGAGAAGATGGCGCTCTGTGTAGCCTGACTCTACCCCAATAAATTTGCACCTGCAGAGCACTGTGATGAGGGGTGCAACAAGCATGATCTGTCCCTTTTCTGAATACGAATTGATCTCAGCACCGGTCTTGTTGTCAGAGAATCACCCTGGCTGCAAATCCATGTTCTGGAACTGCACAGCTACAAACACACCTGAGAAACGTCATTAATAGAAAGTAACAGAATTCAGATGAAATGCTTCACACTCGCAGAAAGGAGCATAGATAGCCAAAGAAGCTTTTTAGCACCTGTCAACTTTGAAACTGCTCACCAGCTTGGGATTTTTCAATTTTCTTCCACTTACACAGAACTGCAAAATGATGCTCCAGGCCAGAGTCTGAAGAGTGAGGTGAGTAGCTGCTGCTCCCTGTCCTAATACAATGCATAAAGTCTTTAAGGGATGGTCACCTCATTGTACCTTTTTGCTTGACTGAACGTCAATTACACAGCAGTTCTGGAGCAAAAGGCCTCATGCTGTTTCTCCCCTCTCTGAGAGCCGTCAGACACCAGAGATGGCTCAGTCAGGCATGAACAGGCTTTGGAGGGGAGCACATAAAGCACTATCTTGGCTGTACATGCAAGAAGGGGAGGCAATAAGTTATGAGAGGGATGAGGACATTCTACTAGTAACATGCTCCACTTCTGCCCTCCAGGATCTAATCTCACAGCACAGGAAAGAAAGATGCTCTGTCACGACAGGCATGGGGGTACTTGCCATCAAGACTGATGATGCCATTTTTTAAAACAGAGCGACTCACTGCAGACACGGGGAATTCAGAATTGCAGTGTGTTATGAGACAAGCCTGGCAGTAACATCAGCTGCTTCATGGAAAAAGAATGGGTTTGGCAGCTCTGCCACCTCCAGCTGCAGAGACATGATAGCCCCAGCCTTCCAGAAGAGAAGAGAGAAGAAGGGTAAATATCTACCCTTATTTCAAAGCTACTACCTGGAAAAGTAAGCCGCTTATTGGACACAGAAGCAAATACCATTTGAACCAGCTCAAGGTCTTCTCTCTGGGCTGTGTCTGCTTGGCTCTCACTTTCAAATGGGTCATATTCAGCATCATGAGCAACAGTCACACCTGCATCAGCTGCTTAAAACACTGAGAGGTGCTTAAAACCTTTTGGAAGTGAGAGTTCCTTGATCTGGCACAGGTCAGGATCAGAATCACTGTTCTATATGGGAGCAGTCTGTAAGAGAAAAAGATCCTGAAGGCCCCAATACTTTTAAGAGCTGAAGCTGACTGGGAGTTTGGCAGCCTCCAAAGGTTTATATGCAACTACAGCAGCATTTAGTGTTACTTCTGACTGGAGCACATTACAAACAGCCAAACAAACATCATTTTGCTCTGCCAAACACAGTGGAAGGAGGAAGTTGGTTTTATTAAACCTCAACTACTGACCTTCTTTCCTTAATTGCCTCCTCTCCTCCCCAACTTCCCATCCATCATTTACCCACATTGCATGCTACACACTAACCTCTGGGCCACCAATAGAGATATCTGCAGCAGGCACTATGTTCTCTTTGGGGAAATCAGTTTTGTGTCTGGAAACATTTGAAAGAGTCCCTGTCTACATGAAATTTGTGCACAATTCTTTTCAACTGCTAAACCTGAGAGGGTTTTGAACTTCTGGAGTATAGACAAGAGGGAAGTTTGTGTTCAACGCTTTGAAACATAGGAATTCGTCTCAGACTCCCAACTTGCTTCACAGATAGTATTCTTGTGCTTCAAGGGAACAAAGTATTACTTAGCCAGAGAACTTGAACGGCTTCTTCAAGGTCACGTAAGGAACAACAAAACTAGAAACAGAGCTCAGATCAGAGCTTTAAACACAGTAACAGAAATACATCATCTAGCAGGCAGAGCTCCCAACAAAGATGGAGGCCCACTGTGCTTGTACGTACACAGCAAAGGGCAGCCAAGAAAAGAGACTAGCCCACTAACCGAGGCAGGGAAATGGAGGCAGAGAGGTAAAGCTGGGGATTTGCCTAAGGTACCCTGCACATCAACAACAAAACTGGGAATCAAAGACAAATCAAGCCTCTGACATCCCAGTACAAGCCTTAGCCTCTCGATTTTCACAGTACCTCCCACCGCTCCCTGAACTTCAGGCCAATTCCTACTGCCCTTCCAGCAAGCCTCAGTTACAGGGATTGCAAGGTCTCATCAAGAATTCCCTGAAGAGACCTGAGGAATAGACAACACAAACTGCTTTCCTATTCCAGGACCAGACAGAGTGTCATGGGATGACAGAATCTGAGAATGCCTTACATTTGCATAATAAATTCAGATTTGAGACCACTGGAACTCTGGTAAGCTTTGTTAGTGAATGTTGTGTACAAAAAAGCTTCAGAGCAACCTCCTCTTGTAGCTACAGAACTCAATTCTCTGCCCTAAACACACAGTATCCTTTCCTATTCCTTTAATTTCTCCCTCTGTACTATGACTCACTAAGGCACTGTATTTCCATTTAATTCCATACACGCTTTGGGGAAACAGTTTATGTGAAAGACAGCATGCAAACTAAGATGCACCGCGAATCAATTTTAAATCAGAAAATGCTTGGAGAAAGCATCATCTCAAAACACCACAGCTTTTAGTATTATAATTCTACACCTAGAAACAGAACAGAAAAAAGCCAAAAATTCTCACAAAACATGGCTTGACAAGACCTACATTCAGTATTGATATCTGCCAATAATCAAACACACCCCACAACAAATTCAGAAGAATATTCAAGCCAATACTATTAATGTGGTCTAGCTTTTAGTCCTGAGTCATGATATTATCTCTCCACATTCCTCTTACGAAAATGTCATCACAACAACAGGATTTTCACAACCACATCCACTGAGGATGATACTTCTCTCGAACAGCTAAATGTTCAGTATCAAATATCACTACCTCTTATGCATTAAGGTTACAAGCACCGTTTTTCTCAGGCTGCTGTCATGCACACTTCAGTAAGGTATGTCTGACACAGCCTGCACACACAGCTTTTCTCTTTCCATTTCTAGACTTCCTCTCCCCAAAATACTCAGAGAGCCAATGATTCCTGTCTCCCTAGGAAGAACAGTTAAATGCAGAGAAAGGCACCATACTGGGCAAAGAATTTCCTTTTTTCATATGGCTGGCAACCTACCATTGTCAGTCCAACGCTACCACAGTGTAAGACACAAATCAACCCACTAACAGGAGTAAGCTGAGATGTGTCCAAGGGAGATAAAGAGTGGAAAAAAGTGATTTTTCTGAGGGTGTTATGTTTGCTTTTGATACAAGAGTTTAAAACAAATTTTTAATCTCCACTTACCTGGCTGGCAAATTCTCTCAAATGAGCCATGCCTACAGGATGGTCAGACATCTGCTTTTGCAAAATCAGGGAGAGTTGGGACGTCGTAGCACAGTAGGAAAGTGATGCTTTCTCGTCCGCTCATCAGCTGAGACAAGCAAGAACACAAAAGCTCTAACTGGAGGTTCTCGGAGCCTGACTCGTTTCCAAGAGCTACCCTTCATCCTTTTTCTCTTCAATTTGCAGTTCTCCTTGGACCTGCCAGCCCATTCAAGTACGCCAGTCCCTCCCTGCAAGCCCCATTTCTCAGTTCTTTCCAGATGTGCCTTCCAGGTGTATCAAGGAACCTCACTTTAATGACATACACCGAAAAAACCTCAGGCACCATTTTCCCCACCATCACCTCAGTGTGCTCCCCATGTTTACATCTGTCCCCTCGTCACCACTCCCAGCATCTTCCCCATCACAGCCCACAGCGTTATCCGCAGTCAGCCCTTTCCTCCCACTGCTCCCCAGTAATCCTCTCCCTGCTCCCATTCTCCGCAGTACACACACTCGCAAAGCTCAGCTCCCCAGTGCACCTCTCCCTCCCTAGGGATCCCCGTCCCTATCCCATACCTGGGGATGCCCCACCACTGCTCCCCAGTTCTGCCCCCCGAGCCCGTGCTCCTCAGGGCCCCCCTCCGCCCCAGGAACAGCGCAGCCCTGACACAGCCCGGCCCCTCGGCCCAGACCAGTCCCCGCAGGGCACCCTCGGCCCAGCCCGGCCCTCTCCAGGGTCCCCTCCACCAGTGCTCCCAGCACGGCACCCTCAG